CTTTTTAAAAAATGAAAAAAGTGGGTCAGCATGTAAAAGAATGAAGTACTGAGGCTTGATTCATACAAATTCATTCTGTCTCAGCATCTCAAAGGGTTTTCTCTCAGAGGGCACATTTAAATTTTGAAATGAGAAATTTGTGACTAATTGCTTTCAAACAGTGCAATGTAAACATGGCTTCTGAGATGTTTAGTACTTTCACATCATCACAACATATAAACTCTTAAAAGCCTAGAGGTTTCAAGTCACACAGGAAAGTAAAAGAAAAACCCAAACAGTACACAGTATGAAACCCTAAAGCTAACCAGGATAAATACATTTACAGTTGATCATTACCCATATGCCTAAGAAGTACAAATAGAGTTAAACTCTGCTATTTCCGAGTCAAATTAACATATTCTATCTGCCCACTAATATATATCCTAACATCCTATATCAGAATCAATGATGTTGAGTGAATAGCCAGTTTTTTTAGAGCTGAATCATCATTCTCAGAAAGTAATTTTGGAACCACATAAAAGATATCCCCCTTCTCTCTTCCTTCCCTCTTCCTCTCCTCCAATAATATATCTTTTTTTGCTCAGAATTCACATATCACTTTATCTTTTGAAGAAAAAAAAAATCAAATAATCCCCTGGGTTGCCATAAAAGTACCCAAACATACAGCCTAACCCAACCCTTCACCCATTCTGTCTGTCCAGCTTTTTTAATATCCTTTTTTAATTCAAAAATATATTTTTTAATATAGCCCATCTGAAAGCATGCACGATTTCTACAATCTTTTTCTTGCTTGCTTTCGTTTCACCATGACAAACTGAAGCTCATGTGATTCACACCTGAAGTGATAGGACAAAATACACTGGAAGTTATTTTTGCTTCATTATTTTCTGTAATTCCATTGAGTAGAAAATTTTATTTCAACAATAATATACCTTTAGTTGATAAAGTCACGTGAGCACATGGATAGCAAGGAAAAAAATTAATAGTGATCTAAAACAAGAAACTATTTTTATGAAGCATTTTGATGAACATCAGCAACAGACATAATTAATTATTGTGGCTATTAGGTTGTTACTTTTGTCAAATTTGTTGCTTTTGTGGCTTCAGAAGCATTTTTGGATTACAGCGCTCTTCAGAGTCTACCAATGAATTGGCAGATGCAACAAGTAAGAGAATGAGGCAGTAGCTCACTTCTGTTACAACATGAAAACTAAATGTTAAATAACTACATTTGAAAACGAGAAATATAGGGCGCTAAGAATAACTGTATAAATGTAATAAAAAGAAAGGATTGTGTAGGAAAATCAAAGGCAATGCTGCCATACATTTTCCTGTCCCCTATTATTATCTAATATCGAGTTAATTTCTTGTATTGTAAAAGTGTTTAGAAAAGTAAGCATTGAAATACATTATAATGAAAAAATGAGACACGTAGGAACAAACGAGAGATATAGGCCAGAAAATACTGTCTTTGTCTCTTACCCTGTCAATATTATCACAGACTCATTCACAGTTCAAAATAAAAATAAGTTTCTCTACTAATAGCAGGACCAGCATCTGGTTTCAAGCAGTGTAAACTGTTAAGTCCTTCAATGCTATAGAGCTTTATCCCAAAAGTGCAAGCAGGAGAGAATCAAAGGAAATGCTGCCTTTGTAACATTTCCAACAATAAGCATGGGAAAAGGAAATTGCTGAGCAAAGCTCACCCATGATACAGTTCAAATACATTTGGAGATAAGGCAGTAAATGGTCATACCCAGACACTAAAGGTTTGACTCAGAGATGGCCAAGCTTTGTCTATAATTATTTTGCACTTGCTTGGATCAAAGGCTTTGTTCCTGCCATAAGCACAGAGAATAATGTATCTTCCAATGGAATAACAAATGTTTGTACCCTAAAATCTAAACAGGAAAAAAATATTTTAATAGGATCATGTCACTCATTAGTATCATATCAGAACTTCTTGCTTTAAGTCTCCACAGAAGCTATGGATACAGGAAAGTGCTATCAATCCCATTTTGCAGACAAGGAAAATCAAATAAATCTTTATCTTTAGCCAACTCAATAATTTTCCAAATCCATCCCACCTGACATGCTTCCAGTCCAACTGGAAACACAGGAGAAGACCAGATAGGAATCCAGATCTTACACTGGATTCTTCTCAATCACCACTAGCACAGCAGAGATGCTCAATTCCAGGTAAAATGAGGAACAGTACTAACCCAAGAAAACATTTCCAAAATTCAATACTCCTTCAATCTCATCTTTCTATTCTATTTACCTCATTAACTGAGGAATTAAGAAAAGGAAAGATCTATCAGCTTCCAAAGGAAATAAGCAAAGGACGTTACATATTAGGATGTAGCTCCCTGATTCAATCAGTATTTAAGTGTTTCCCAAGTGACATTTCTGACCACAGGTTAATTCCCATCACACCATTTTCTGTTTGTTTTTTCAGTTGTCTACAGGACAATAGAGGGATGGAAGATAGATGCTTCTCAGAGAACAGAAGTGCTGTACAGTTACTACAAGTAGTAAACCATCTAATAAACTCATGGGTCAGGAGTTAGTGTTACAAAATTATTATTGCCCGAGAATGAAATCAGAAGAATTGGGGAGAACTTCATAATTGCTTTACCATTAATCTGGAACACTGTCACAAGCCCATAATAAGCAAGGCACCGAGAACTTCGAATCATATTTGACAGATGGGCTTAATTAGTTATTCTCATACAGACTCATAATATTTGCTGTTAATATTCATTCTAAAACACCCTGCTGGCTGTGATAATATTTATATGTTAATCCTGTTACGATAAGCTTTCAGTGCCAAAACCTCTCCAAATAAAATGACTGATATATTTCAAACTTGGATAAAGAAATGCTCAGGCATCTTGGTTAATTCTGTCACTTGCACAAGTGCCTCCTCAATCTGTGAAATTACACCTGTCACAGTAAGTTAGCTTTATTAACACTATCTTCTGATCCATGTAAAACTATCAGAAACGCAGAAGTATTGAATCTTTAGTTAATTAACATTACCACCTCTGCATTCAGGCAATCAGATCTCTGATTTTCAAGAGTAATTAAACAATACACAAATAGAGTTTGTCAAATTTCTAAATGAACTACAGAGGCAAACAATTTGGTAAGAGACATCAATATTTAGCTGTTATCCATTGTGTATATTTAGTGACACCAAACATGTCTAGATAAGGGATTGTTTCCTAAGAAATGCTGAGCACACTCTCTGCATATAATGCTTGATCTTCTTAAGCTGAATAGCAAAACAGATATGATTAAATTTAATGAGGAAAACAACATACTGAATAATACATTGCAAATATTTTACATTTGTTTACAAACAATGAGGAAGAATTTCTCAAAAGTGAGAAAACCACAAAATCTCAATTTAGAACTCAGATGGAATAAGTCAAACCAGAAGTTGTTGCGCATATACCCTGTCTTCACCTGATTTTCTTTCCAGTAAAATCTAATATGTATATGAGCTCATATTTCTTTTCATAAACATGAAGTAATACTTATACTCAGCACGTGAAAGTACACAGAATCTACAACCACTGCATGAAAAGTGACATTAATTTATTTTTTTGTGTACAAGGGGTCATTTTGAAGGCTTGCCATTGAATGATGAATAGTGAAGGGAAAGAAGTTTCCAAGCCTCAGTTCACATATGCTGTTGCATTATATTTTCCTGATGACGAACAGAAATCAGGGAAATGCACTGTATGGACCCGACAAGATAAAGTGTGATGGAAAACTCACCTTTGAAATAATCTTTGATTCTGATCCAATGCCCATTTCAGTCAATGAAAATATTCACACTGTCTTCAAATAGCTTTGAACTGGGATTTTAAAGGATCTAACTAACAGGTTGTGCTAGACAGTAGGAAGCTCTGACCTTGGCATATTATACACATTGCTTCTTTGACCAATAAAATTCAGTTAGGTAAGAGACAATGTATGGTTCAGATGAGAAAATTCAGGATACTATAGCAAAGAAATTGTGCAGAATCTGAGTTACAATAAGGACAAAGTGATTTAGGTCATGATTATGAAGGGAAATTCTTCCCTTCCTCCTTTTTTCATATATCCAGATTGCAAGACATGAAACTTCCTAGTTATTAGGCTCAGAGGGTATTCATCTAAAAATTCTAAACCCCATAATAAATCCTCAAAGCCTTTAAGATTTTGTAAAATTTCAGAAGTAGATCACAGCACAGAATTTCCACGTTAAACAGCAAGTTTTCTAACAGCAATGCCAAAAGCAATACATACACAGGCAGTCAGAGCCTTGTAAATATGCACTTGACATAGAGTTCCAGAAACAATGAAAAAGAAGCAGCAAATTCCATTCATATTCACTAAAGCAATCACTTGTGATTAGAAAAGGAACATCCACCTGTCAGGTGAAGGCTGTTTAAGACAGGTCAGTGTCCTACCTAAGTTATTGCACAATGGGAATGGAAAATAGAAAATCTATTCCCTTGTGCAGATTAAAAATTCATATAAAAATCTCACCAACAGAAGTGTGGGTTTGGTAGTAGGAGTATGGTTAGTTTCCTCTAGGAAAACAAACAAACAAAAAACCCCAACACCCAAAAAAACACCAAAAAACCCACCCTCACCACAAACAGCCCTATAATAACCCCCTGCTAGAATGCCTGGCAGCAAATAATTTGAAGAAATTAAACTAGTCACAACCAAATTCTAAGATCTGAAACATGCTCTTCTAATTACTATGTTAAAACCATATTTCCTGCTAGTTTTAACTCCTTTGAGTATTAAGATTAAATAACATTTTGTTCAAAATGCATGTGGTAGAATTAGCAATACACTACCAAATAAAGACAGCCACAGCTTTTCCAAAAGCATTTTCATCATGAACTATAATACAGCTTATTAAAATGATGGCAAAATGCTTTGAAAAGGAAAAACCACCATCAGTTATGAAAAGATAGACTGCTGGAATGACCTACCTGTTTTCGGAGGCAGTAGATTTCCTCTGGCAAACAATAACAGCTGGTGCATATTTCCCAGTATAATCCATGCTCTCTCTGATGTCCCATAAGTATGGGCTGCTGGCTCTTACACTGAAAACGTTCACACCTTTCTTCACCTTTGCCCTAGGAGGAACAAGAGGATATTTCACCAATTAGCTTTATCTGTTACTTACTTCTTCATTACTTTCTCATTACTGTCCCACAGAAAATGCTACCGCTCATTAAAGTTTGATAGCATTACAAGGAAAAGAAATGAGTGAACTAATTAAGAATTCCATATTTTGAAGAAATTGTATCAGGATAGAAATCTTATTGAACTAATGGTAATTACAGCTTTAGTCATAGCTAAATTGCAGAGCAGATATGTTCTGGAGCACGCTCCTCACTCCTGCTCTTCCATTATCCACACTCCAGGAACCACTAAGTGTGTTAAGGTTCTCTTTTGACAGGATGTTATTGTACGGGAGAGGAAAGTATCATTTTTGTCCCCAAAAGAAGTCGGGTTGTTGCTGGGACAATATCTGGATGAGGAGTTGAGAATAGTTGGTAGATCTCATATTACAAGCAAAATCTACCTTTTTTTCCCTCCCTCCTCTCCAGATTACTCAAAGATGACATTTCATACCTTTGCTCCAATTTTTATCATCTGAGTCCACAACATTGATTAGTTTTCTTTTAATACTGTTGGGTTTCACTGTTCTATCAGCTTGGATCCTATAAATACTTACAAATATTATAATTTTTCCAAAAGTTAGTGGTTTCTTGGCAAGTCTGTTTCTATGTATGAGGTTAAACCACAGGAAAAGCTGTATGACAAACTGTTACAGTCATAACAACTGGACTGGCTCCTACTGACAAGTACTTTCTGCTTCTCATGTGTTAGCACAATATTACTGGTTTTGAATAACTGGTGAAGACGAACAATTTCTGTATCTTTTAAAATTTATGTTTTACTTCCTCTTAGCAGGTGTTGTAATCCCTAATTCTCCCTTTCTTTAACTAAATATCTAAATATGTATCTTAAGGCACTACTGAATTAGCCCACAGCTACATAATGTTGGCCAATTTATTGAATTAGGAGTTTCTGGTGGTGTTAACTTTTGGTTTTTGAACGTGTTTGACCACCATGGACTTTTTTGTAAACAGCCTCATACATGAGCTGTCAGGAAATGACAGTTTAATTGTATTTGCTTAAAATCTCATACACAAAATCCATTCAGTGTTATGGTAAGTTCTCAATTCTGGGCAAAAAACCAAAAAGGTATGTGATGTTTTGTATAAACAGCTGCTGCCATGCAGAGATGCTAATATCAGTAAAACAAGCACTATCAGCTCTGCCTCTGCATGAAATTACTTGTGAAATCTTTGAAGGACATCTACACAGATGTTTTCAGAATAAAAAGCCAAAGGATTCCTTCAATTGTCTTGGACAAAAAGGGTTATATCTAATTTCTTCTACCACTAACTCAAGAGCAGTGGCTGTAATTTCCTTAGCACACCTGGAAGAATTAATAACATGAAGGTTGCCAATTTGTGTTCAAGTTCTTCTATGCTAATTTCACAAAATGTTTTTTAAGCAGGTGCAGTTGCTGCTCCTAGACCACAAACGTCCCTCAGGACAAAAGATCAATGGTCAAAGAAGAATGGAAATTAAACTGAATTCCTGGCATCTTAGAGATAAGAGAGGGAGACAGAAAAAGGCCAGACAATCTGGATGAAACGTTTTTCAGCATATGTCTTTAGCTACCCTGGTGACCAGCATCTGCTCCTGCTTTTCTGTTCCACCTCAATAAAGGAAAACTGCTGGTCAACTAACACCACTGATAGAAAAATGACTCCCACTTCACAGGGAAATGAAGGTGGCTCAGATCTTTCCAAGTTAAGCTGGCTATGAACAAGAAACTCATACCCACACTTCTAGCTCTCTAACACAGTTGCTATCTCTCCAGTAGTTGATCGTGGCTGATGAGGAGATGCTGGTGTGGGACTGGGCCACCTAGTTGAGCTGATGTATTTGAAAATGCAACTGTCTCAATGGAGCCAACTCACTGTGCTCAGCTCTAGTGCAGGTCAGTAACGGAATCACTCACAGCCAGAGGCTGCTTGCAAGGGTGCAAGCGAGTGGCTGGTTTCATTTCCCAAAGCCATATCTGCCTGGAGCTTGTTCTGGAAGCTTGGCCCCTCAGGGTTGCTGTGTGGGTGTAACAAACCATTGGTGTAGTTCACAGAACACTTGATCAGTAACCGACTGCTGACCCCACAGTCTGCACATGCCAATGAGTATGTCTAAGACTTCTACCTGTCAGAGAGCCTCGCTGGGACATGCAGGAACACTGATCCTGCCGTGAGACATCTGGAAGTCCTGGACAAAGATATTAAGCCCTTGAATTCTCCTGGACAACATTTCAACAGGAAGCGTACGTGTCCCAGAAACCCAAACAGATATGTTTCTGCTTACGTAAAAGCAATCACTTTCCCATGACTGGAGGTTAAGAGCAATTACTATCATAGAATCATAGATGGTTTGCATTGGAAGGGACCTTCAAGATCATCCAGTGCCAACCCCCCTGCTGTGGCAGGGGCACCTTCCACTAGACCAGGTTGCTCAAAGCTTCATCCAACCTGGCCTTGAACACTTCCAGGGAGGAGCAGCCACAGCTTCTCTGGGCAACCTGGGCCAGTGTCTCACCACCCTCACAGGAAAGAATTTCTTCCTAATATCTAATCTAAACCTGCCTCCTTTCAGCTTAAAGCCATCACTCCTTGTTCTATCACTACTTAAAAACACACAACAGACTATGTTTACTATACAACAACTACATGTTTATATGTCTTGTTAATAAAACTGGTAGGAAATCAAGAAAAAAGGAGTGTCAAGCATGGCATATTCTACCTTGCTCTGCTGGCACACAGGCAATAGCTTTACTGCAATTGAGAAACCTGTGCAGGGTCTCAGTACAGCTAAATGAACACTGAAAACTGAGGAAATTTCTCCTATATTTTTAAAAGCATTTAAAACCCAATTAGAATAAGTGTACAGACACATAACAGATATCATCCTCTTATTTTCTGTCTAGATTCTTTTAAATGGCAGAGTGGTGAAGGAAATGAGAAAAACGGCCACAAAACCAGTAAGACGTGCTGAGTTTATCCTTTACATTTACTTTATCCAATGACCAACTGCCTTCCTGCACGGATCTCTAATGTTTCAAAACAAATGCAGATCCTTGTGTACACTCCTTGGGGTAATTGCAGTCTATGGATCAGGATTTCTTAGAAGAGTTTTTTACAATGTCTAATTTAGTCAGCTATTAAAAGACCCAAACCCCTAATTTTACTGAAAACAATAAGACAACAAGATTGTTATTTTCTACAGAATTAGAGATTAGGAACTGAAGAATCAGTTAACATACTTCTACAATTAGCACAAAAGTGTCAATTCCACAATTCCAGGAAATGTTTTTTCCTCTAGCATGTCTCAGTGCTGTGTTTGCCGCTGTCAGGGAATTAGAAGATTTTACTCAACCAATTTACAACAGCAGTAGCACTTTGCAATTACCAAAGAATGACCTGGATGAAAGAGGGTTAATAATCAGTGAAGGTATGTTATTTGTCAACAGATAAAACTGAAGATACCTGAGGTGAAAACACTATGACTGCTGTCAGGGCTCAATTACTTTCTTGCAAATCTGCTTTACTGAATTGCCTGGCTGTCACAGGGCAAGCTGGGTCTCCAACCCTTCAGCTGCTCTGGAGAGTGCTCATGAGACAGCTTCTTGGGTCAGCCACAGTTCAGCCTCCCAAGATTTCTCAACTGCAATACACAAAAAGGCGCCTGGCAAAGCTTATCCATATATTTGCTCACAGTTAATAGTCTAAGTAGAATAGATTGTATGTTTGCTTAAAACACTGTGGCTGGACAGCAGAAAGTCAAGTTGTTTGAGTATTTTGTGCCCATCACTTTTCACTTTCAGTCAGATTCTACTTTGGAAAAGAGGAGGAAAGAAAAGACTTATTAAACTTTTAAATTATGGTTGGGTTTGGGTTGGTTGGAGATTTTTTTGTTGGTTGGGTTTGGTTTTTGGTTGGTTTGTTGTTTTATTTTCCAAACAAGGAGCCTATCCAACTAAACTCTTTCCTAGGTGTTTCGACAAGGTGTTATTTACCTCTGGATCACTGCTCACAGTGCAGCACATCAGTTACTGAGACTCATAAGTAGCTCACCCCTTGCACCAAATCAATCACAGCAAACAAATCCCTTGGGTGTCCTCAATCCTTGAAAACCCATCAATGCTGACAGGGTACAAATCATGGGAAGGGAGAAAGAAAAAAACATAGCAGGAACACCCAGAATCAATACATCACACCTGAAATACATTTCTTAAGTGCATAGTGATTCCCAGATCTATCTCATGACCCACTAAACATTATGTTTACTTTAGTGATAAAAGATGCTTCAACTCGACCAATTAAAATGCTGGCAGTGTCCTTTCTCATTTATCAAAGTGTCTGTTCTAGCATCTCCCAGTTTTTGCAGTTTACAACCAGTTAGTGCTTAGCTTTCAGCCCATGTCATTACTGCAGGCTGGTAATGGCTGTGAAATTGTTACTTAAGTGTTGTATAAAGTGGAACAGCTGGCTGGTGAAAAATAACAGCATTACAGCACGTGTGCTGCTAAGTGCCATGGTACAATGTCAACAAAGTGTCTGGTTTGAAGCGCCACAGGGAAGGGAAATTTTTTCGAACACAAATTCACCCTCAAGAGGTGCAGGAGATCAAAGAGAAGGAGCATGCAGAAGCCACAGCTATCCTGCCACAGGCAGGACTCCTCTCCCCACGTTTTACTCCTGACAACGTCCCCCATGCAGCATACAAATATCACACATCCCTCCGTTCCAGAACAAAGTGCAAATAAACAGGGAATCTAACCCCTAAACAGCTCTAAATAAAGATGTTTTAGACCCATGACATTGAATCTAGTTTTCGATTACTGTGAGTGCTCAGGGCAAAGAACTGTGGGAACCTTTCATGCTCCTTCTGAGAAGTGAGCTACTTTCAACATCAAAGGAATAAAAAGAAAAGGGAGGCTGTTAACAGAGGTGCTACCACTGGTTAACATCTT